GTATCGAAAGCAATGGTATTAGTTTTCCCGCCAGTTCAATGAATGGGAAAATCAGGGTCGGTAACTAGGGTCTACTGATAGACTCCTTGCCGGCTGAGCACATGTGGAGCCATCTGTATGTAACAAAATTCACCAAAAACTACAGGGGACCGAACATAAATCCGTGGCGAATGGGTTAAGACTCCTTGTCTTGTATTTGCAATGCTATTATTCGTTTTTTTGCAGGTGCAAGTCTGCAGTCTTGCTATTTTTTGAGATCTGTATTTGTCTTTTGTAATGCTGTATCAAGACGATAGACTGTTTTTGTTAGGCAGACTTCATATTATCTCTCCAGGGAGTTTACACCCTTTGCAATAACAGTAAATAACTTTGTGTTATTTGTGATATTGTGTATATTTTCATATTTTTCATTTTTCTCAACACACCATCATTCATTTTTCTATAACACACCATTCACTGGAGTTCTAGAATATGAACAGAGTGACCAGCCTGGAGATGGGCCCTTTCCCAGGCATGGTTGTCAGATGGAAACTTTTCCCTTGTGGACTGAATGAATCCCTTCTTGAAAGCCCACTGAGTCAGTCTCACTCCAAGTACAGATAGTCCCCTACTTAAGAACATTCTACTTATGAACATTCCATACATACAAACAAATTTTTTTAAGTACTAAAGTCAAAAAAATTGTTTGAAAGATGCTATCAAACTTCAAATTTCCTGGGCATGAATATAGTTCAAGAGTCTGGTACTGTATAAGGTATGTCGTACTTATTGGGATTTATTTATAGATATTCTTAATGTAAACAAAACTTTAAAACAATGGGAAAAAAGGTAATGGAGACCCGACTTTCAACATACAAACAAATCAACTTACAAACAGCCTCTCGGTCCCCATTATGTTCTTAAGTTGGGGACTTACTGTACTTTATGTACTCGTAACAGAATATTCCCATCAAGTGATACCTTGGCAACAGTCTTCCATATTGAGACATTCTCATCACTTTCCATGACAAGGCATTACCATCACCCATCATCCCTGGCCAAATTTTTTCATAACAAATTGTCCATGTATTTGTTTGGAACTATAAGAGCTGTAATTTTTTTTCCCTGTCTATTCCGCAGCATTCTCTAGTAGAAAATGGCATCAGGTTATTCACGCCTCGGAGGAGACGATGCGGGCGGAGGAAGAAGAGGAGGGCGAGGAGGCGGCCAGAGATCGTACGGCACCAATGACCCGGATGTGGGATTTGCCCCCAGTGAAGGCAACTCGACTGAATTCTTCCAGGTGAGGGAGTCTGCTTGTGGATTTGCTTCTGTGTGTGTGTTTGGATTTGTTTCTGTTTTTAATGGTTTTTGTTTTTATTTATATGTATGTTCTTGAGAGAAGCTTTATTTTTAAGGTCTTGCAAGAGGTATTGAAGAGACTTTGTTTTTCTTTTGATGTATTTGTAGTACTGGTTTGGTATATGATTGTTATTAGTAAAACATTGACATATGCTATATCTATTTTTTTCCCCTCAGAAGTTTGTCACTTTTGAAAAAAAACATTCCAAGGAAAATGTAAAATCAGTAAAAGAAATTTAGTCTCATCAGAAAATATCTGTTATTGTTTCTTATATCAGAATCCTTATTTTTTCAGGTTTGTGATAAAATTACAACTCATCTTTTTACAATCAATGGTGCTGTGACAACTCTGGAGCGTTCCTTGAAACAAGTGGGAACAAGTGGCGACAACCAGGCACTTAGAGACAGAATGTAACTATACTATAATGGTTCTGTTTATGTAGTTTTTCTTATATGGTTTATGATTTCATTTTCTTATTGTAGATGAATGATCTCAGGATTTTAGGTCTGTCTTGATTGATGTTATCTTGGTGTAATTATTATTTTTATTTCTTGATATGTACAAAATTTCAGTATTATAATTAAGTAATCTATTTGTCATATGCATCACATTCTTTCTTTCTCAGCACAAAGACAAACAGCAATGCTGGAGGCTCTGTGCAAGACGTAGCCACACTCCTGCGTACTCTCCAGCCCTTAACACGTGGCAACAAGCAGAGGCGCATCCAGACTGAGAGACTACAGAATGAATTCCAAACTGCAGCAACACGCTTCTCTGAAATTCAAAAGGTTTGTCAGAAAACTAATATTGACTTTGGTACACCTATAAAAGTTAGTCTGGGCTGGTTCATATTGACTTTGGTACATGTATAAAAGTTAGCCTGAGCTGGTTCATATTGACTTTGGTACATGTGTAAAAGTTAGTCTGGGCTGGTTCATATTGACTTTGATATACATATAAAAGTTAGTTTGGTCTGGTTCATATTGACTTTGGTATACATATAAAAGTTAGTCTGGGCTAGTTCACATTCAATTTGATACACGTATAAAAGCTAGTCTGGGCTGGTTAGTGATGACGAGTTATGGCTCGTAATTTTTCTTCTTCTCAATAATAGATTATTACTGTTATTTTTAGAAAATGGTCAACACACTGAGAACAGCACGGTTGCCGGCTGACATGGTGGCTGTGGAGCAAGATGCAGCCTCAGCAACGACAGAAGAGATGATAGCCAGAGAGCAGAAGAGACAAGCGCAATTGAAGGAAATAGAGGTAACTGCAATAGTATATATCAGTGGCTGATTCTGAAGTGATTTTTAGCACTTTGAAAGAATAGTTATTTTGTTCATTTTCATTTCATGGATGGTTAAAGATTGAAGGTATTACTTAATTATTATTGATATTATTATTGTTATTCATTATTATTATTATTATTATTATCATTATTATTGTTTTTGTGACTTATTATTAAAGAAGTGAGAATAAATCTCCCTTTCTTCCAGGACTTGGAATTTGAAACGGCAATGCAGTCTGAGCGGGAGGAACGAATGCGTGCAATTGAAGTTGACATTATCGACATTAATGAAATCATGCGTGACCTGTCATCCATGGTCACGGCACAAGGCGAAGTTATTGGTAAATTCTGTGGTGATCATTCAAGCATACCGAGATTGTAATTGGTGGTGATGAAATTGCATAAATACCATATAACTTTCATCTCTTTCTTTAACTCATCAGAGAGTGAATAGAAGGCTTGGATAATTGGATTGCTACTCAATTAGCTCTTTGCAAAGTTGCATTATGCTAGTTTGGGAATTTCAGTCATTTGCTTTGCATCTGTGTTTCCTTTGTTTTTTATTTACAAAACTGTAAAAAATAAGAGTTTTCACTTAGCTCTGGAATCTGTAGCTCTGCAGGCAGATAAGCAGTGCATGACTCTCCTGTTCTGTCAAGCGCACCTTGACAAACAGTCTAAATCACAAACCATCACCCTCCTCCTGTCACCCGTTGTCAGGTCATGTAGATTACTAGATGTCTTAGACAGAGTCAGCTAATTCTCCCACATCCTTTCCAGACTCAATCGAAGACAATGTCGAGACGGCACATGGAAACGTGGAAGAGGGACGAGAGCAGTTACTGAAGGCTTCCACTTACCAGGTGAGTCTTGATGGGAGAGAGATCGCATATTTTCAACTGTTGCTCCAAAGGTTAAAGGCTTTTGATATTGGAAATGTGTCTGGGTTTAGGGGGTGTGGATGATTGTGGGTTGGGGGTTGGGTACTGGTTGGTAGATGTGTCGGTGTGTTCGTTGGTGCATGATGAAAGGTGGGGTCACTGAGGAGGGAGCCTGTTAATATGTGTTACTATGACCTTGCTTTTAGTTTTCTTGTGGGAGGAATACTCATGAATATGTCTTCTATTTTATCTCTTAATATAAATTAACAAAGATTTCTTCAATATGGTATGTATTATTTTATTGGTGTGTGCTTTAAGTCATCAGTGTGTCAAGTTTAGTCTTTAAAGGATGTGCTGTCTTGCAGTCTTGCAGTCTGATATACATGCAACACATCAGTCCACTAAACAATTACTCGTTACCTCTGATTCATATTGCACAAAAAATATTTTTGGAATCTACTCACCAAAACTTGAAAACATAACATTAATTTTCTAGCATCCAGTGGGCATTGGGTACACTTTGCCTTGTGGCCTCACGTGAACATGCCAAAATATAGTACACACATTCTTTAGGGATTAAACTTGAGTATCCCAGTAAAAAAAAAATAAAGTTTATTTATTTGCTTATCGTACACTATCTTTATTTTCATTATCCATGTAATTATATTGAGAATACTTGAGAGAGGTACAAGATTTTTGTTTAATATTAAATGTTCCTGCAATATGGCATGTAATATAATCTTGATTGTATTAAGGATGAAAGGAGAGATGAAGTGGAAGGTAGAGAGTATCCTGATTGATCCTGATATATTATTAAATCCTCTCCATGGAATCAAGAGTGAGAGATGCCCCTAACAGCCCATCCATACTTTCCAGAGCAAGTATCGTCGTAGAGTCTGCATCCTCATCCTCATCCTGGTCATCATCCTGGCAATTGTTGGCATCATAATTGGCATCCACTATGCAACCAAGAATTAGCAGCTGACTGGGTGCTAGAGTGACGTTTTTTATTGATTTGTCACAAAGTCAACAGGTTGATGGAGTCTCTGTCGGCCAAGATACATTCCATTTGCAGATACAAGTAAATTTATTTGTTATATATGTATGTATTTGTTTTTGTTTTTTCTTTTTTTTTTCATTTATATATGTACATCCCAGAGATGCTATCTATAGAGTTCTAGTCACAATCTTAGACAAACTGAAACAAAATCTGTAATCTTAATTTTCACAAATTAAACTAATATTGCCTAATTGATTATGAGCATTGTTATAAATAGCTTATGATTATATTTGGAACCCAAGGCTCCTTAAAACCTTACCTAGCTTTTTTTCTGCGGGGACAGAATTAGGATATAGTGCAAATTATTGAAACTGGAATGAATGAGATTGCATATCTCTCTTGCAGTTAGAAGTGCAGTTCATCATTTTCTATAGTATGTTGCTCTCTTCACTGCATAATGGGAGTTTGCATTAGAATCAGTGAAAA